AGAAAAGTATAAAGAGTAAAAACCACTCACTATTCATATTATAGGGAATCATAACCTGTAACGATTCAGAACACTTTTTTTTTTTTTTAAATGAACTCTTCAATTCTGAAGAACCAGACAGTCATCTCAAAATATTAAATGAAATAAAAATTTGCTTTTTATACAAAGGAATGCTCCTGTTGGAAACTGAACACAGCCAACATGGTAACGTATGCCTGAATCTGCTCACAGCTTGAAACTAATAGCCTGGAGGAGATGAACTCAACAGTGCATTAGATCCAGAGAATATATTCAGGTACACTTATGAGAAACAAATTTCGCCAGGAAGAGCCAAAAAAGGTCCAAGTAGGTCAAATTATATGCCCCAATAAACAAATTTTCAATCACAAGCTTTTAAACAGTGGGAACTCAGGGGCCAGTCCAGTCTTTTTTTATTTCCTGCAGCAAAAAGTAATGTTTCTCCACATTCCAGATGTTACCATAAGAATGAGTTAAGGGCTTCTGTGCTTTATAGATGATTACCCATAATCCCAAGAGACTACCTCTATGCATTACTTCATGTGAATATTCTGATACACAGGCAATTTCCCCCCCCCCCAATATATTCACTTGTATTGGCTTGCTATAGATGCACATATGCTTAAAAGAAGTCATCAACCACTTTAAAATTGTTCCCTCCTTGTAATACTTTCGTACTTTTAGAATTCTTTCTACTCAGGAAAGAGTACCTTTGGAAGCTTTCAACTAGAAGTCCAACTCTGTTTTTAAGCACCCATTAAGGTATTTTATTTTCTGAAGCACTATGTATTTGTAGGCTTTAGTGATGCTGAAGTAGTGATGTGCGATCCAAATGTGACCTACTTTTGAGGCAGAAAAGCTATGTTGAGACTGGTCTGTTGGAATGCTATCCAGACCTCACCGTCTAGGGCCCACTGTACATGTGTCCCATCTGCAACCCTCCAAGCTAGCCCTTACAGTACTTCTAGGCCGTACAGCTGCACAGGAATGTGTAGCAAGACAGTCTCTTATATCAGACTCCACAATCAAGAATCATCTGCCTGTCCCCTCACTCTTGACACCCCAAACACCCTTTCCCATAGAATTGCACAGATCCAATAAAGCTTACTCACTTCTAGCCTGTATCAAACTGCCAACTAGAGAAGTACAACTAGAAAGGAGACCAAGTCTAGGGAAAGGTGTGGAATTTGGGATCAGAGGACTCTGAACCAGAAGACTAGACACTGGCTGGCATATATCACACACTTCAATTCCAACATTTTAGCCTAAAGGTATAGGCTAGTAGCTTAAGTGCTGACAATTACAGAACAAGCTCTCCAACTACTGTGAAGCTGACTTTAGAATTAGCCCAGGATAAGCCTGTAAAGACTATTTCTCAAGTGAATGACTAAACCAAGTACAGTGAGGACTCAGCCCAGTTCTCCACAGACTTAAGTTCAAATTATTTCAGAAATCTGTTGTTTCTCTGAGAGTCAGTGTCACCTCTTAAGAGTACATGAGTCCTATGTCAAAAAACCTTTTTTTGAAAGAAATGAGGCTTTGAGTCACTGATAATAATGTTTCCAACACAAAATCCTGGGTGTAAGGGAAGAAACACAAAGAAATTTCTGATAGAAGGTAACTAAAACTGACCCTAGGAGCTGGCTGGTTACCTCTTCAAAAAGGCAGGAGACACTGGGCAGAGAACAAAGTCTGGAAGCAGAAAAAAAGAAGCCTGCAACTGCCTGCGAAGCAAGGAGTCACCCAGAGAGGCCTAGTCTCAGTTGGTTTATAATTCCTTCAACTATCAGAGGTTTGATCCTGACAGTGTCAAAGGCAACACAGACCTGACATACACACAGGTTCCTCCATACATTTTCTGCATATGATATCTTGCCAGGGATTTTCAGTTCTATAAATGCCATACTCTTTTCTAACAGTAAATGAAGCACCTCAGACTGTCAAAGCTAGGCTGAAGAAGTAGCTGTACGAACATTTTGCAGACATCCTCTTACAGGAAAGGTGAACAGATGCAGGAATTAGATGCCTTGTTTTAGTAGCAAAATTCTTTTGGGAATATTCCTAAATGGTATCAAACACTTAAATGACCTGACTTCGGGCTTTCACAGATGACTTTGTCCTGGACAAATATTGGATGAAAACAGGCTGGGGCATCAGGGGAAATGTTTTGTATCCTAAGACTATTCCAGTCCAGCTTCTTTCTGTCTGGATCCTAGTATGTTCCAGCCTAATGTTACTTGCTCAGAAACAGCACAGCTGGCCAATTAGCTCTGATATTTGGTGAGAAGGGAATGGGAAAGCATGCTCCATGCTGTTAGGGCACAGTGACACTGATTACAACCATGTATATCTAGCCCTGAGAATCTAGTCCTGCCTGTTCTGACACAGCTGGATGATAAGAACATTTAAGCTGTCCGGAAATATACTGTTTTTAACCTGGCAAGGTCCAAGCAGCAGGCACAGAGGAGCTAGGACACAAACTGTCTGTGAAAATCAACGAGTTACGGGATGGAGAAGATTATTTAGGTGGCACTTCCAATGCCAAGACATTAAAGATGGCCAGGGAATCCATCTCTGAAAATAACACTCAGGCAGCTTTAGCTGAGACAGAAGCACATATGGTTTGTTACAATGTTCCTTTCATTGCTATTTCCAGAGTTTTGTATGTGACTACACTAATTTATCCTGTTCCTTTGTCTGTGAGTTTTTTTGAAGGGAGGAAGATGGAAGAGGGAGGAGAAAGGTAGCTTGCAACTAAGCAGATCACAGTATTCTATTTTTAAATCTTTTCTTACAGCATCCAACCCAGTAGGGTCCTGAGTGGAGTTTTCAGACACTTAAAAATATGTGTGTACATGTGAGTATGTAGATGAGTGTGTGTATATAGATGTGTATATATATACACATACATAGATAAGTGTGTATAGTGACATTAATCAGCCTTAGTCAAAAGAATGAGAAAAGAAGAGAAAGAGAAGAAACTGGAAGTATTTTATTTTGATTGCAGTAAAACAGCTTTTGTTTGGATGTAAAAGGTTTCTTTATTCAAGAATGCAACAGCTCCATTGTATTTTATTTGCCTGTTTTCTCAAGATTCCTTCTTTACACTCCCTCTAGTGTTCTTAAATTCACTTGCATTTACTCACCCCTGCTGTATTCACTTAGTATTTCACACAACATTAAGTTGTTCATTTTCCTTAGCCTTTCCATAACCTACAGGAGAATCACTGAAAGTTAAACTAACTTTTCTGAATACTTTTCTCTCTGCAATGATCAGAGACATACAGATTAACAGATGAAAGAGAGAGTAAAGTGTAAAATTAATTCTGAAACAGCATTTTGTACTTTGTTGGTAGGTAAAGGGGAGGACTCGGTGTTGAGGAAGATTTTGTTTGCAACACTTTTAATGCAGGATTCATAGGAAAAGGACAAGAAGGCCAGTTGCACTAAAACACCACTTATATGGATTTCTTCCTGCTACTCTCTCTAGTAAATACACAAACTCTCTTCAACATATACACACACTGATTACTTCAAGCATATAAAAGCAAGAAATTAATAAAACTAGGTTTTCCTAGTCATCTCCCCATTTCATGGGATGCCCTGAAGGGACAGCAATAACAGCTAGTTTCTGTTCATCTCATGCTTATGTTTCAATAAAAGAAAGAGAACAAAAGGGGAGACTGGATTAATATGTTCTTTTGAAAAAGGAAATATTTTGAAAAGAGATAAGTAAATTCCCTCCAAAGCAATATTTCCAAGCAAATTTTTGTTTCTCCTTCATAACTGCAGTTTTAGTATTTAGTTTGCATTACCCATGGCTACCACTGAAGAACAGAAAACACTTGAGCAAATGTGAAAATGAAGCAAAACTCTATTCCCAGGGTGGGTTTTTTTCTAAAGTATTAATTTAAAACTAAACCTTCTACAAGCATGACATACTCAAAATAAAAAAAAAAAAAAAAAAAAAAAAAAAACCAACAAAACAAAAACAAAACACCCAAATATCAAAGTTAAGCTGATGAGATTCTCCCACCTTGCCCCATCTTCATGAACATAAAAGTTTAAAAAAAAAAAAAAAAAAAAGAAAGAAACAGCTTTGCCACTAGTCATCTGTGATCTTCTATTCATTATATTGAATACTTGGCATCACTTGTATTAAGTGACAGATACTTGCTACAAACTCTTATTCTACAGATAATATACAAATGAAAATATTTTAATTGGATCAAAAGAACCATAATAAGAAAAAGAAAATAGATAAAAAGCTATTTGGGACCATAGATAAAACACTATTTGAGACCAACCCATGAAAATGAACAACTTCTACCTGCAAATCTGATGATTTACCACAAATGACAAGGAAGTATCATGAGTGCTCAGTCACTGCATAACAGAAATTTCTGCTTCAAATCTGATGTTTACAAGGATGTAAAATTAAAATTGGACATTTATGACAATTTTGTTCGCATATCACCCATTTGATCCACTTTAAAAGGCAGAATCCTCTCATTATTGCTCCCCAAGACATCACAGTTGTCCCCTAGATGTTGACCCACCTTTATATACTGAAAATATTGATTCTTATCAGTCTATGCTTTTATACTGACATATTAATTGGCACGTTTTAAACATATAGAAAAAATGGTTATCAAGCTATTCAATTTCTGTTCAATCTCCATTTTTGATTTATAAAAGAAATGTAAATTTGAAGGTCATAAATTTTAAAATTGTGCTGTTACTCATGTTTGTTTCATTATTTTCTATGTAATTTACAATGTATAAATATCTGCTAAAGTTCAGTAATCTTGGATTATTTACTTGTAACATAAAGATATCAAGTCCTGATTCTTATACTGAATTGGCACATTCCAGCAACAGAAATTAGATGCACAACTAGTGTTTCTAACACAACAGTTTTACTCCTAATTCCTCATTATATGCAATAAGCCTATATTAAACATTTTATCATACAGACTTACAGTGCTGTCAATATATGCTTCAGTCCATACTACATCGTGCTCTTGGTCAATAACCTTTGGTCGGCTAAGAACATGGAGATATTCCATGACATTCTCTTGAACATCAGCTAAGGTAGAGATCTGAGTAAAAAACCCTGTGAAAACACACATTTCAAAGTTATAAACCAGACAGAACAAATTAAAGAAGATTGCAACTTGGAGTATCATGTGGTTTATGTCTGTCATGTTTTCTGCTTGCTTATTTCCAAAGAAGAAATGCAAAAAAGGAACATTTCATAAGCAGCAGCCTCAAACAGCAATAATTGGTGTAAACAGAAGTCTGTGAAAACTTTGGCCAATTTTGAAGGACTGGGTTCCCGATGTTGCTATGAACCACTGCACTAAACTCTACTTCCAGAAAACTTTTATTGTTTAATGGTAAAGAAGTTTGTGTTTGTTTTATAAATGATGCATACTTTAAAAGTTAGAACTGGTATTAACTTTGTCCAACAATGTCTCATCCAGTTTGTCCAGTTTCAAGAAACGTTACAGATTAGAACCACAGTAAAAAAACCAGTAGTTGCACATGCTCTAAAATGCTCAACATGATAGAATGTGATTAAACATCAGTTAATAGCGATATGGTATTTACAAATGGCAGATCACAGAAAATGTAGACTACAACTAGAATTGCTTGGCTTAGTAATCACAGCTCTCTTAATCCTTTAAAACATCTCCTACAACCTGACAGCATTGAGAACAGCAGAGGCCACAGCTATCTGAGCTGTCACCACTTCCTTTTCAGTGCTTAGATGTCAAGTATCTTTCTACATCACAAACTTGGCATCTGGAGCCCACATCACACAAGGGTGACGAAGGACTGACAACTTGCAAGGCTATCGTTTCATCAGGCCTTATTTAAATGCATCACTTCCCCTTCATATACTTTCATTTTCTTTAATGAGAAAAGACCAATATGGAATTTTCATGAAAGAGGCCTTGCTACAATTTTAGTCTTTTGACAAGATCATGAGTTTTGTGGACCTGGAATACCAAGCTTCAGCAGTAAACATGGCAGCTGCTAAGAACTTCTGAGCTATGTTCATTGTAGACAGGGTAAATTTTGGCAAGACTGCAAGGGTGCTCTGTAGTCTGAATGTTAGAAGTTTCCGATTCAATACACCTGCCAATAATTCATGCAGTACAAAATTGATGTTTCTACATACGTTTCCTCTATGTATGAATTAAGACACAGGTAAGAACAGAATGTATAGGACATCTTTAAAATGAAATGAGTCATAGTAGTAGCTTAATGCATATTTTCAACTTAAGAAAAAGCAGAGGTGGTGGGGTTTTTTGCAAAACTAATTTGATTATACTATGATCTCAAATATTCATAGTATAGTGTTCATATTCATAGTATAGTATTTATACTGTTCCAATATTCAATATTCTGCTTAAGGAATTTTATTTCTTTGATTTTTTTTTTTTCTATTAAGTCCAGTATTCTGTGAGGATGTTAACTGACAACTACATATACTACCACGATCTGACTCTTACTTCAAAACAGAGCTATTTTTTTGTCTAAGGTTCTGAAAGCTTTTTCAGCCATAGAGTAAAATGATTGACATAAGTTTAATTAGGAAGTCTGTACTTGACAAAGCAGAATTCCATGTATATAGTGGGAAAAAAAGAAAATTATAGTGTACTTTCATGAATTATTGGCTTAGAACACTTGTGGGAAAAAGCAATGTGTACATTACTGTTTCTGAAGTGCTGCCTGCTCCAATTTTGGGACTGCTGAATCTCCCAAGTCAAAGTATGGGTTTCTCCCTAATTAGGGAGTAATTAGGGACACTTCACTATCCGGTCCTTTTACTTTGGAGTAAACGTCAATACATAGTAAAAATATTATTGTTTTCCAATATGAGCTATTCACATAGAGATCCTCATAAATGTATGTATGTATATATACACACACTGTGATTTATACTGTTTTTAAATCAAGGATTCAACACACTTCAGAACTGTGTGGATCACTCATTTTACAGGTGATGACATACATTTTCCTAAAGCAGTTCAGAGTGCCTGAATTTTGGTATGTCTCATTTCAGAAAGCTTAAAAGAGAACCAATATTCAGAGACCAAATTCAGCACTGATCACATTTCAAGTTACATACTCAAAAGCACAGGTCGCTCAGAAATACAGAAAGACTGAACAGAAGCACAAATAGACTAATGAGCCTTTTGCCTTTCTTCCTCCGTCTTACACTAGTATACAATGGCTAGAAGTGTGGAATAAAATACTAAAAGGAAAGAGTACACAAACTCTGCTCATTTCTCTGTAGGAGATTTAAAACAGGGGATCTCCATGTACGTTTATCTCTCCTTTTCCCAAACACATACTTTTAGTTGTCCCCATGGACAATTTTTAGTTGTCCTTAAAAAGCAGACTTAGTCACTGTTTTGTTTCAGTGTTTTCTATGCAATCGTACATCACCACTCCAATACTATTTGTTTTGTTGAGCTCATGTACTTTGCAGCGCATGTTATGCCAGTACTTGCACTTCTTTTACAACAGTGTGCAAAATTACACTTGGAGCAGAGATCTGCTTGCACTGAGTAGTGTACAGGGAGCAACAGGACAACATCTGCACATAAGCACTTTACATATATATAAGCATATTAAATAATGCCTGAAAAGTGAGAGTAGATTAACTACTTGAAAAAAATTCGTGTTGTATCTAAGGTGATGGAAAGGTCTTTTTTAATCAAGCAGTATTTCCTTACCCATACAGGTTAAAATCACAATTAGTTAACACTTTTTAATGTCATACTTCATTAAAATCAAAACCTTAAAGACTCATTTAAACACTCATTTAAGAAGCTCCTGGATGTCTATGCCTGGAATATTCTTTAATCACAGCCTATAAATTACCTTTGAGATAAAGAATACTTTGCTTTAAAATGAGCGTGCAATCTGATTGCCTCCTGAAATGCTTTTATGTCAGTTTTTCAAGTGAAAAAATTTAGCAAGATTACTCAAGAAAAAAAAAAAAAAAGGGGAAAAAAAGAAACAGAAAACAGAACCCAATCTGAAACACCTCAGTGTTGTGCCATACAGGTTTATACATGTTACAAGACACTGATAATGCTGAATTTTTTTTCTTTTCCTTCATTTAGAAGAGATCCATCTGGACCAGGTGCAGCCAACATAAGCAGACATACCTACTTGAGCACTTATTTGTAACTGTTCTTCACCTGGATGTGTATTACATTAGGTGTTTCTCTTTGTAGTATTTCTGAGAATGCATGCTGTCGTATCGCAACTTACACAGAACTCTCCAGGCAGCGTGCTATAGACAAAGTATTAATTTCTTGTTGTAGTACTTGCAAACCATATCTCTAAACTACACAACAGAGAAAACAGTTTTAGCCTAATTTCCTAAGAAAAAAGAGATAGTGAGTAAGTCTGAATTAATTTCATATAAACTTAGCAAAGAAATAAAGGTCTCAAAGACAATTGAACATTTATCACTAACCCAAGACTGACAGAAGTGACATTGAGCATCCTATTCGGAAGGAGCCAGATGGTAAATCAGCACATGTATAGTGGCATGCATGTAGTTGCAGGCTAGCCATGCAGTGCTCCTTGCCCAGTGAGTATGATAGCTAAAGTAGTCAAGGTTAGCAAGTGGAAGAAAAAGAGATTAGTGTGAAAAAAATCCTATTTTTTAATCATATCTGTGTTTCACAGATTCATTCATATATCAGGCTGCAACGGTTGAAAAGTTGAAAGAAAGAGTGTGTTAGAGACTTTATTCCTTTTAATCAGGTTGCTTCAAATAACCGAGTTTAGTGAAATGTAAAAGATGCTGCTAAAGATATATAAAAGACAAGACTTAGATGAAGATGGTGTCATAAAACACAACCATATGGATTGTCTCTAGAGTTTTCATAAAGTGATGTCAGGGCTGGGTTTCATTTGTAATTTCTGGGAAGAGTTCCTTTCCTGCATTGAAGATTTTGTCTGTTTAATTTCCTTATAAATAAGGTTTGTGCTTCTGTAGCTCACATTAGAAAAATCTACAATGATTTATAGTTTGCTTAACTCATGTAATATGGACAATTACCTATCTTCTATGAATTTATGGTTCATCTATGAATTTTGTTTCTACAAAATTTGTTTTCCTTATGTTTTAGCTTTCTTTAGAAGAAAGTAAAAGGAATTGCAAAAGCTACGTGAATGATATTTCCCATATTTTTAATGCTTGTTCTAATACTTATTTTTTGATCTTCTCCAAATGGGAAAACTCTACCAAAAGTTACTATATTGTAGCTAAGGGCAGCATTAGGTAACATTCTCTTAGTTAATTTTCACTGTATGTTTAGACTTTCTGATGATTCATGTGTTTGTAGCTATGTGTAACAAATGCCAAACCTCACAAGACCTAGCTTCCTACACTGTTAAATTTCTCTCTTATCTAGAGATCAGAGGTACCTCATGGATTTAAAAACCTTACTCTTCCTATACCAAGGTTTAACCTTTAGATAAAAACATGTTCTGAAGTTCTTGAGCACAGCTGCTGAGGCCACGTAAGCCATAGCAGCAAACCCGTGCTTAAATTTTTGCATTCTAACACCTGCTTCTCAGCTCCCTGGTGTGTGAATTATCCTGCCTTAGAGCTCCTTACAGTTAGCACTACTTTTTTTTTTTCCCTCCCCAGCAGGAAAAAAATCATGAAGGAAATGGGTAAGATTTGGTAATGACAAGCGTGAGATGTATATAATAATATGGTTAAAGACAGACACCTATGCTCTGCAAGTGGGCTGCCTTTCCATATTACACAGTCCTTGCAATGTTTTCGGATGGCTTGTTTTTCTCTAAAGTGTCCATCATTAGACTCATAACATTTTAAAATGCCTCCAATGGATTTATTTTTTTTTGAGTACAGTACTTTTCATTTTCTGGACACTGCAAAATAGATGCAATATTCTTGCAACTAACGTAACATCAGAATTAAAAAAATCCTCTTTGGGTAGGGAATAAGGAGGTAATTCATTGTTTCTCTGCAGCTGTAAAACTCCCATGGAGAATACCCCCGCTGCCCCCCCACCTAAGAGGCCTCTCAAGCAGGTGAACAGTATCTGTAACTGGCTGCCTGCCACCCCCCACAAGAGCCCACAGTGCCGGAGGTGCTGGGGTCATGCTAATACTGGGAATGGATGTGACTGGGGCTTCCTGTGTGCAATTCTCCTCTGCTAATACAATAGTCTATAAATGGCTACAGCTGGGGCACAATTTGCCTCAGGGCTGATCTGTCCTCTGCTGGCAGTTAGAGAGACACTATCAGACCTCCGATACGCAAAGCATTTTTCCGTACATTGCCTTCTCAGCCTCTGCTCCTTTCTACTGATGAATCCTCTCCTTTGTCCATTTTACAATATGCCAACCACAGTTATGCTCCATAATAAAATAAAGAAAAAAACCCAAAACACAACCAGAGGCTGTCAAATTACTAATGCAATAGAGAATTCTACTGAAAAAAGTTTAATCCTGGCTGATTTGTTAGTAAGTATTGCATTAACTCCCATCTTTATATATACACCTTTCTGCTGGATGTGACTGCTGAGGGAAAGGTAGTACCTGCTTACTTTAAATTCTAGCAGATGCATGCTAAGCACTAGGAAAACTATTACCTTTCTTCACTTCAGGATCTTAGTACATCTTTATTCTTACCATTATGTGCACTTGCTATGATACAGTAGAGTAAATCACTGCAAATTTCACAAACCACTCTAGAGGGACTCTGGGGTTCTTGAACATTTTAATGTATTTAAAATGGTTTGGTGTTTTGCTTCATTAAGCCAACTCCCTCTAGATATGCCCTACTTATACATAAAAATATAACAGAAAAACATGCTTGGGGTTTTTTGAGGTTTCACCATCAGAATCTAGAAGCTAAAGAAGTTTTGCAAGGTGGTATGAATTTCCCCTGTGACCCATTTTGAAGGAAAGGACTGCTGTCCACAGTCCAGCCAGCTGGAAACCCTGCAAACAGCCTTCATCTATATTGTGCTTCCAAGGGGAAAATCACTGCAAGGAAAATTGATTTTAGGGTCATTGACCCTCAGTGACAACAACATACTTTGGCCCACCCATGCAAGTAGTAAACTGCAGTCCAGCCATTCAGCCAATCTTTAGACCAGCTTTACTACACTGCTCATTTGTTGTGCTGTAATCCTTCATTTTACTAAAAGAAAATGGGCAAACTGTAGCTGAAAACTCTAATAAAAAGCTCTAAATCCTTACTGTCTGACATAATGACTTATGCTGTTTCCAACTTATTTTCAAAGCTATAAAAAAAAAATATTTAATTACTGATTAGAGGTGGAAGATTTTTGCATTGTAAGCTATCAGAGAGCAGGTATTGCGAATGTTAAACTGAGAAAAAAAATTATAGAAGAAAGTCATTAATCTGTTTAGTTGATTCATATGAGTAAGATTCTGACTCAAAGTAACATGGCTCTGAAAAGAACAAAGTAGTGCTGAAGAATGACAAAGGTGACCACTTTTCCCCCTCTGGGAATAATGAAGACGTGGACCAGATGATCTGCTAAGGCAGTCTCTATTGCCTGGTCCTAATTTCTGAGTTGCTGTACTTAGATCTTTATGAATCTGTAGAGCTAGGCTAAAAAGCTAAAAGATTTTGTTGATTAAATTGTCTTCAAAAAGATGCTTCAAAGGATTCTTATACTATTATTTAAACTAAATTATGGTGTAATATTAGCTGATTAAGACAAGACTTCAAACTGAGTAATTTCCATCAGCTGGACATAACAGTAGTTAAAGAAATAATGACTAAATGGATAGCACCTGATGCAATTCATCATAATGCAATGTGGCACAACAGAAAAAAAGAACTTTTTTTTTTTTTTTTTTTATCCAAGAGGAAAGGAAAAGGAAAACCTGAAGATTAATTAGGGGGGGCTGGGGTTTTTTTTCTGAATCATTCCTACTTATATTAGCATATCCTTTTACTGAAGCATCTTACATGTTTTAATGCTCCTTCCTTAGGAAATATAAAACTGTTTTTTCAATTACACTGTCAGTTCCTCAAGGGACAGGATGTCTGGTGTTTTACATACTGTGCCTAAGTTAACAGCACTTGTACCCAATGTTCTTAGGAACCAAACTACCTCTGACTGAATAATAAAAGATATAGTAGAACAAACATTTGAAATTAAAGTTTGTTCTCTGAAAAAAATAAATCACATAGTTTAAAAGCTTCATACACATTTTAAGAAAAAAATTAATTTGAATTTTTTTCCTTTTTAAATTGTATGTTACAAGATAAATAAGTCTTTTCTGCAAAAAAAACCACCCATCCTCTCTGATTAGTTGTCAGTGACACCATATCTGCAGAACGGTCAGATATGCAGGAAGGCTCAGTAATAGGGTTTTGAAAACAAGGCTTTCACACTTGAAGGTTAACTAACCTTTGTTCGCACAGGCCATCCACTTCAGGTTATCAGCAAAAGCAGCTTCTCTTCCAATCAGATAGGTAAAAATACGAACCTGAAAGTACAATGCAAAAGATCAAGTCAATTAATATTGCATTTAAAACTTATACAGTGGAACTTCAGATACAGATGTATAATTCATATGGATAGACCCTTTTTAAGAAAGTATTGCTGGTAAAACAGCACAATAGATTTAAAAAAAAATTAAATCTCTGCCAGTAACGTCTTCATGACAAAATGTGGGTTTTGTTCTATGTAACAGAATGGCTGATCTCTTTGGATGTTTTCAAAATCTGACATTTAACTCAAGTTACATTTAAATGGTTAAAGTGAAAAAATTGCTATGGTGTGGAGGAAAAGGCACTTAATTAGCAAATACTTCTGTAGATAAAGGATGTGAAACACCAGGCAAGCAAATTCCTCTCAGTTTTCAAGGTTCATATGAGACAGTATCTTTGTCAACTTAGAGAGACATACCCACAGGTGGCACTTGTGCTATCAAGTGATGAACAGTAGAATCATGTGCAGGGTTGCCACATTTCCCAGACAGAAATATCTGTGCAAAACGCAGTGCAGCTGGTCTATGCGTGTGCATGCACACAGACACCTTCATCCAGAAATCCTAGAAAATTGCTGCTTTCCTTAAAATTCTGCCCAGATAAAATTTCTTGGCAGTAAGGAAGGGCATGCTTTGGAAACGTTGGATGCAGGGTAGGCCTTGATGCTAAATGATAACACTTGTTTGTCTGGACTCCACAGTTCCATATTATAGTATTTATATCCAAAACTGGTTTTGAGCAGCTTCACACAACTGCCATTTAGAAAGCAAAGGGAAATTTCCAGTGTAATATTTCTCATTCCTATATCATTTTCTCAGTTCTTTCTTATCAAATACAGGTGGGTTCAGGGTTGCGTTACTTTACAAGCCTTGAAAACAGGTGCAAATTTGTCCTCACAGTAGACTGATGACAGCATTTTATACCTCATACCTCCTGCTCTCACATTATTCTATACATGGGAAACTACAGCAAAGATAATTAAGTTGGTTTTAGCTAGATAAACAGGGAATAGGAAAGGAGCATGTTGTCCAGGGCTTCCTCTACCTCACTAATACAAGTTTGCATGGTACTCGTAGTCCCTCTGTTCAGGTTGGGTCTGTAACCACCAACGTGCGTGTGCTGAGCAAAGAAATCACTGTCCTTAGTCCCAGCACATTCCATCTAGAATCCCACACAGTTCCATACCTTCTTCATTTACCATCCGATGCAGCTGAGTAAGACGAAGCACGGTGAGCCTCACTTGATCCGTCTAAGCTCTCAGTAAAAGAATTGGCAATAGCACCTGACAGCTACAGCTAAAGCCCATATTCTGCCTACTGTAGCCTTTGCTGTGCTAAGGCTTATGCCTCTCATTCCATGTGCCTAAACTTCCACAATCATTTTCCCATTCCCTAATGATTTGTCCAGGCAAAAGAGGCCAAGTGCATGCTGGGCCATATCAGCAAGAAGAATACAAGGTGATTATTCACCTCTATCCGTTATAACACCACATCTGGAGTACTGAGGTCAGTTTTGGATTAGCCCATACAAGTCAGACACTAACACAAGGGAAAAGACAGATTCTTCCTGAAGGTAGACTCTAAGAGGACAACACAACAAGGGACAAAAGTCAGAAGAAGGTCCTAAACAATTCTGATTTGATATAAGGACAAACATTTTTATCATGAAGGTGATAAAATATTAGAAAACATTCTCCAGAGATGCTGCAAAATCTGCATCCTGGGAGATATTAAAAATCTGACCAGACATGTTCCTGAGCTGCCTGATCTAACTTCACCTGCTCTGAGCAGGGGTTGGACAAGATGATCTTCAGAGGTCCCTTCCAGTCTAAATGATTCTATGAAATTAGCAATATTTTATACAAAAGATTAAAATTTGACTGATTTTCTAATAAAATAACTTGTTCTACATTTTGTGGATTTTGAAGATAAAACAAATAGATTAAGTTGGGACGGGAAATTGACAATTTGTAGCTGCAAACATGGTGCTATGATTATGTATAAGAAAAAAAAAGATTATTAACTCCATATTGTAACACTAAAAATTGTAACTAAACCCCACATCAGATCCTTTCATCTTTTTATTAGTATACTTTACAGAATCATCATTATCCAAACTTTTTTTACAGAAACTCTGTTATCATCATTAAAAAGCTGTACACAACAAAATATGCTCCAGAACATTTTATTCACTTGCTAATTGGGTCTCGCATTCACAAAATAGACACGCTTAAATTATACAGAAAGCTAATTACACAGAAAGAAATGTCATGATGTGAGAAGTTTATGAAGGCCTCTAATTTAATTAATTTGCAATTTAAAATAATCAAAGAATTAAATTTCTTATAGTTTTTTCAATTAGCACTTTCTCACTCACAGTGAGACAAAAGAAAATATTTGTAGAATATACCAACTTTATATTAAGTTCCCATAGGGTTTATTTTCACAGAAGATGTTTTAAAATGTCTTTGAAAGTTTCCTCCTTTACTCTCAGTTGTGATACTATAGTCCCTCACTGCCCTTTTGTCCATTTTCTTAATGGCCAGATCCTGTTTCTAGCCATACATGCTGTTTTGCATTATTATCATGCCTAGAAACCAGATTTCAATCACAAAACTTTCCCCAGTCTTCAAACATAAAATGTACATAGGATTCAATCATGATTTAGGTTGTTTAAAAAGTACACACACTGACTGTGTAGTGTTGTTAATGTTAATTAGTTTGAATCAAATAGTATGCATAATCCTACTCTAAGATTTTTAAGAACACAGCATTAAACAAAAGAATGGTACTTTTATGCTTTGGTGATGGCTATGAAAAGCATTAATAAAGAAAATCTTTATTCTCCAAGCACATGAGAAAGATGTGAGATTTATACCCTCAAAATACCACATAAATCACTGTCACAGTTTATCTTCCTGAAAATGATGCTCAAATATAGCCCATGATGAGACTGAATGCATCCAAGAGATTTATATTTAATGATCTGCTTTAATCTATAAAGAATCAAACTACACTGTGTTCCTAATAAAAGGAGACCAGCCTTATCTAAAAGGATGAGCAGTAAGCATGATAATGGGCATAGGCAGAAAACTAACTGCATTAAACCCACAAAAAATAAAATTTCAACAAATCAGTATCATAGATCATCATGAGGAATGGGCTGCCTCTGTGATACTGTTGCAAGGATTTTAATGATTTTTCTCTGGGTACATTTTATACATATAGTTTACTTGGTATCTCCAATTTTGCTAGAAAATATTTTAAATATCATAAAAATTACTGCTAATCATTTAGCATTACTTGAAAAAATAAAAATAAAACCTATAGAGAGCTAGCACTGAAGATGAGTTATCAGTTTATTAAGGGCTACTTTCTTTGCGTATCCCAATGAGTTATGTATTGTTCTCTATGCACCTGTCACTGTGCGTGCTACATAAATAATGCTTACATCAAGTGTCAACATGAAGTATAAAATCTTTTATAAAATGTAATAAGATAAACTATAATTTTAGAATACCATTTCTATACTGCTCATTACTTTATAGAATGACTTAGTATTCATAAATAGCTTCACAAGAAAATAAACTTGTAAGGTCACAGGAAGGTATTTTAGTTAAAAATGTCAGTGATAGATTAAAGTTTTTCTTTTACATTGACTGTAAAGATACATTAATAGGTATTATGAATATTGTTTAATACTCCGTTCAGAGTAGTGAGACAAATCTTCAAAATCAGCTCTGGCAAAAAACTCTGATCATAGCTCTACTTCTAGAAGTTTCATTTGATCAGTTCATTCAACCCACCAGCACAAACTTAATTCACAGTGAGCTTGCAGTGGAAAACACTTGTGAGTGCCTAAGCATTCACTGTAGAAGTAATTTTACAAAACAAATGCTTGCCATATTATTTTCTGCTTTCAGAGATCAAAGCAATGAATTAGGTAATAAATGATTAGTATTGAAACTTACCTGAATAAGTCTACATTCTAAACCCCATTTTTCAAAACAAACTTGGATCTACATACCTCTTGTATTAGTTTTAGTCTTCTGGATAGGTATTCTATGTAATAATTCTAGATATGCTGGTACCATCCATGGTATGACACCAATAAACAGGGACAAAGTTACTGTGATCATATACCTGTTTTCTTCATCTACACAAAAATATAACTAAGTCAATATTATAGGAGTACTACATTAATTTACCAGCATAAGTTCAAATTACTTCAACTTCTGCATGTGGACAAGACCTATGCATGCTGCAAAATTACACACCGTGTTATGGCTACCAGTGAAATTGTCATCATAAATTGACTAGACATTAGGTACCAGATTTAATATCCACCCATATTCTTAGATACCATGTAAGATAAATGTTGTTAAGTAAAAACTGTTAATAGTGACCACCAAATTTTCTTCTTTGTATATCTGAAGTATCTGAATGGAAAGCATGTCAGAACAGTTCTGCTCTGCAAAATGATTGCATGAAATGTCTATTTTATTCAAACAATCCAGATATAGCTCTAATACTGTATAGTCTACTGATAAATATATATAGTACTGAGGCATATGATTGAAATCTCTATAAATTACAATGGATGAGGAAGTATAAAGTGTATCTTATTTTATGGTTTGTACTGGACCTTAAAGATAACAACTCAATAGAAACTATGAGCTTTAATAAGTACATACACTATGTACATGCAAATACACTGATATACCTATATCAATATCTTATGGTACAACACAATGTTAGGACACTAAAAATTCTTTTTAATCCATACAAAGAGAACATTTTAGTCAAGGCAGACTGAATAAACTCAAAGTTGTTATGGGCCAGTCCCGGAGGATCCAGTAACAACATTTACATAGTCTACATATGCTCTAGTTAACTGAGTATAAGCCAAATGAGAAAAACACCTTTCAATATCCAAGTGCTGTGACTGAATCAAGAGACCATTTGCATCTGAGAAAGAATCTGCATCAGAGGGTATG